GCGCTCGTCTGCGCGCGCCATGTAGCAAAGCTAAAGTAGGCTTACATTGACAAGTGCGAATTAACATTAAGCAACACTAAAATGAGCTGAAAGAATTAATTTATTGTTGTGAGGCAAACACGGTTGATTTGCGTTGGCAGGAAGCGAGCAGAGATACGCTTACAGATAGTTTTGGAAACGACAGGAGCAGCGGGACAGCCAAATCAGCTGATCGCTTTCAAGACTTGTGGAGGCAACTTGGAGAGTGTCACCAAAATGCACTTCAGGGTAACTGACAGTTTGATCTCACCACGTTCATGCTGGCTTTCATATCTATACTATGAAGTTCAGAAGCTAAATGAAAACACATGTCATCATTGCACTTGTTGCTGTTTCTAGAATTGGAAGCAAAAGTAAGCAAGCTGAAAAAGGAACGTTGCCTGTGAGTATGTTGTGTCACTTTGCGTTTAATGAGAAGGACACTTGAGTCTTAGTAAGTTATGTATGAAGGGTAAAGTGATGTGTTTATCCTCTACAGAGATGCACAGAGGCTTGAAGTGTTTTACAGTCGAAACCAGCAGCTCAAGGAGCAAAATAAAAACCTACAGGATGCCATGGCTCTCCTGGAGGAAAGGTAAATTACCCAAAGATGAATGCACGTGCACTCCACTGTTATTCCCTTTGTAGCAAATGCTTGTTTGTTTGTTTGGAATATATGTGTCTCGTTGAACCTCTGTTAAATTCTAACTATAACTTAGGATGGGAGAGCTGCAGTTTGGCACTGATGTGGGATTTCTAATTAACTGGAGCAACATGATACCAAAGACAAGAATAACCTTTTCTGATTCATTGTATGGGTGCTTCAGATTCCCCCGCAGACTGAAAGTTAACAAGATTTAATGTGTTGCATTAAAACGGTGTGAAACATAAAGATTGCCAGCAGTGCTTTCCCTTTCCAGGCTTCGAGCAGCAGAGTGTGATCGATGCTCCATCTTAGAGGAGAACACGAAAAACGGTCAGCAGCACAATCTGCGTCTTATCGAGAAACTAAGTGAGTGTTTTCATTTCAGTGTCCAACAGCCATTAATAGCCCTCTCTGATGTGCATACACATATGCAGATGCAATCTTTCACAACAGTAGTATGTTATATAATATGATGAGTAATATACTAGAATAAATGTGAAAAAACCCTAAAATTTCTTTAAGATTCTCAGTTTGTTTAAGAACAGAGAAAAACATGTTCTTTGCAAACCTTTGTTCCTCAGAAAATGAAAGAAACCTGCTGGAGGATGAAAACAATAAGCTGCGAGCTGAGCTGCAAAAACTGAAGAGTTCTCGGTAAGTTGTGTTGCATTAATGTTTTTGTTCACGAGAAAAATATGAGAAATGTTTTAAAAAGTTAAAGCAATAACTTGAAGTACTTTGAAGTTTATCAGTATCTCGCATCATGGAGGAAGTTTGACTCTTTACAGACTTGCTTCAGTTTATTGAGGTCTGGATTTTGACTGGGCCATTGCACAACACCCTGACTCTTCTGTTTTTCAGCCATTCTGTTGAATGTAGATTTGCTGCTTTGATTCAGATCATTGTCTTGTTGCATGAGCCTGTTATTGCCAAGCTTTAGCCGTCAGACGGATGACTTGGAATACTTTGGTATATATGGGAGTTCTTGGATGACTCAGACACATCAAATCATCATCACTCCACCACCGTGCTTTGTGGTGATGTATTTGAGTTTTGCCAAACACATCCCTCTGCATTATACGTACACGTCTTCAGTTTGGTCTCGTCTGTTCCAGAGGTCTTGTGGTTTGTTTGTGAGCCTAAGCTGTGCCTTCATGTTCTTTTTAGAGAGAAGCAGCTTTCTCCTGAAAATAAGCCATCCCTGTTCATCGTTTTCTGACTGTGCTGTCATGAACTTTAACATTTACACACTGAGACCTGTAGAGTCTGAGATGTAACCCCTGCTTTCTTATTTTATTGTATTTCTTTTTACAGTTTCTGAGCATTGCACAGTCTACTCATCAAGGTGTCTCTTGACATTGATACATCTGTCTCACAGAGACTGTTCTTCATTTGGTTAGATATTGTGAACGGGTTTTACTTAGCCAATCATCCACTGCGCTCATGTACTTAAGATGTCTTCAGTTGTCTTTCATGTGTTTTGGTGTTGCTGAGCCTGGTTTGTGCATTTATTCTTTTTACAAATGCAAGTTTATTCTACTGCTCCGACAGGTTTATTTTGGTTTTATGGCTTCTTCCGTGTGCGCCCAGATTTTAATTAATTAATTTTTTAACCTCATATTAAAAGTTCCAGTGAAAAGATACTTAATAGATTTTAAATATTTAAAATGGGGGACTGTGTCATGATTCCTGCAAATAGCTGTAAACAGTGCAATACTTTTGTTAAACCTCTTGAATTAAAGCTTCTATAAAAATGTGTATCACCTACATTGGTCAGACATTTCAGGAGTGAACAATACATTTTCCCAAGCTGCTACTCAGTATTGTTATTTTTATGTGTTTATAAGCTTTTTGGTGCTAACAGTCCCAGTTTCTTCTGTGGCCCCTTGGGAAAATAAATTTCCCTCCTGCAGGAGGCTTGTAGGTTCAGGTTCGGTAAGTTTTAAAGTTTCAGTTTCCAGTGAAGCACTACACGTGTGCTTTTCTTTTCAGGTCTGAATCCAAGGAGGCCTCACCCGCAGAACAGGAAGAGGGCGTTATTCCAGACTCCCCGATCTTGCCCAGCTCACTGCCCGTGGTAAACAGATTGAAGAAACAGAAAAATAACGACCAAATGAAGCGTGTGCGCTATGCAGAGGTGCCTCTACCACAGTCTAACAATTCGCTCTTCAATGGTCAGTCCTCTTTAAAGTAGCTTCCTCTTTCGTCACCTGTCTGAAGACACAAACCAGTTTTCTAATCTAAATTATTTTTTAAGAGCTATACAAAGATCTTGAGGGTGCCACAAAGAATCCTGGAAGAGCAGAAGTGCTCGTCCCTAACACCTGTGAAATGGACGCGTCGCAGATCTCAAGTATGACTTCATCCATTATTGGTCTTCCGTAGATGCGATCATGAGCGTGTTGCTGTTAACATGTCTGTTTCCATTTTCAGACGATGTGACTGAAGATGAAGAAGAGGCAGCAATTGCAGAAACTTGTGGCCTTGAACTTATTGAAAAGCAGCAGATGGTGTGTATAAGCAGGATTTGAAACAAATGATGATCTAATAAAAATGTAATGTGATCAGGCTTTAATAAAAACGAATCTTAGGTGTGATCAAACAGATTAGCTCTCTTTCTCACCTTAGAATCTCAGGAAAGCCCCAAGCCAGCAAAGAAGCTTCAGCACTCTCTGGAAGCAGGACGTTCGTTTAAAGTAAGCATTGAGACATCATCTTCTGCTGTGGCAGACACCTCCATGTGGAAAAGAGGAAAAAAAATAACAGTTCGGTGCTACAGTTATACTTGTTTCCCTCTTCAAGGCCTTGCTTCTTGTCCTCTTCATCCACACTGATGCACAGTCCAGACTCAACATCTAAAGGGTCCCCATCTCTTCTCCCACGCATCAAACGGTTTGCAGAAGGCGGCAGTGTTTGCAGGGCAAAACGGGTGAAGGAGGGAAGTCCAGAGGTACAGGAACGCAGTCAACGAGGACTCCAAGAAGACGCCGACAACCAGGAGGAAGGCGAACACCTACAGCGTGAACAGATCAGCCAGACTGCCATATCTGTGAGCAATCCATGCATCAAGAAGGAGCAACTAGATAGGAAGGCAAGAGAAGGCAGTAACATCATTTTCAAATTTTAACCACGTTTAGTGTCCAGGCTGTTTAATTAAATGTAAGACAGAAATATAGAGTTTCAAGGTGCTTTCTATATCACACAGGTACAGTCAGGACATAATATGAGCACCAGCCAAAAGCCAAGCGCTTCTTGTAGCAGTCCTGCTTTCAAGAAGCCAAAAATGAAGGTTAAACTGGATGCAGACGGGAAGAAAAGAACCCCTGTGCAGGATCTGAATGCTTCACAAGGCCAGCGTGAAGCTAAAGATGGTGATTTCTCTTCAGCAAAGTCACTTGAAGGACATGCGGATATTTCTGATTGTTGTACAGTTTGAAATGCTCCTCAATAATATTCAGTTAACTTGAATGTGGCTGTGTGTTCCAGCCAATAGGAAGCACACAGTGGAGCCTACATGGAGCGTCGATCCTGCGCTCGCTCTCTCCATGTACGATAGCGAGTGGAAAGGAGACGAGGTATAGTCACGTGATCTGCTCTGCTGAACAACCTCCACCCTCAGCATGCACTATACTGTAAGCTGGCTCGGGGCCTTTGGGCCTGGCCATATTAGGAATATCCTCTCTTATTAACATCATCCAGACCTGGGAGTAGAAAGGCGCGTGCTGAGGTTGATCTGAAGCCTGAGTTTTTATCTCACAGGGGTTACTTGTACATATACTGACCTCATTATTTTAAACTGTGTCCCTATTTAATGTGAGCGTTCATCATTTTAACATTATTTAAACTAAATCTATTCATTGCACACGTCGTTGTGAGAGTCTAACACAGGTTTTGTGCGTTCCAGGAAATTGATGAGCGGCAGCATCATGTGGAGATGGCAGATACAGACTGCACCTGGGTCAGTCACAGCTTACTTCAGCGTCAAAGAGAGAAGGACCGAGATAGAAGAGACAGTGTGTTCGGTGAATATACACGGCAACACTTTTTTTCTAAAATATTTAAAATATGCTGATTTAAACTGTTAGTAATCTCAGCTGTCCCTACTTCAAGGACTCGGTGAAAAAGCAAATGACAGCTTGGATATGATGTTCGACACAACGGCTTACGGGGAGTACAAATCTTGCAACAGTTCACATCTAGGCCAGAGCCAGCCCTGTGACCGTGATGATGATGAAGAGGAGGCCATTGGTGAGCTTTCAGATTGCACACATTTTCTTTCAATCTTGATCAGTATTTTCAGATATCTATTCGTAAGGTAAACCCTGTGTTTCCCCCCCCCCCCCTAAATTCTCCAAATAAGAAGATCCTCCTGAAGACGGTGCATGCCAGTCTAAAGCACGGTAAGAAACTGATCAACCTTTTCAGGTGTTTATCTGAAGATGATCATGTTTGCTGGTCATTGTCAGTTTTCCATAACCTAGATCTGTCTCTGGATTAGACACCCAGCGTTTGCACATGTAGCAGTCGTTCGCAAAAAGGATGAGAGAAGAAAACTGAAGGGCACTACCTGCAAGGAATGTGAAATTGTAAGTATTCTGAGTACTTGAGTTTAATAAAACTGACACACTGCTTACACTGATCCTATTTTAAAATAATTGTTTACCTGCAGTATTACGCCCATCTGCCAGAGGAGGAAAAACAGAAAAAGCTGTCTGCTTGCTCAAGGCATCGTTTCCTGTACGTTCCTCCATGCACACCTGAAAACTTCTGGGAAGTTGGATTCCCATCAACGCAAACATGCATTGAGAGAGGTAATTTAACAGTTATGCACTGTAGATTAAAGCAGTAAGGGCAAAACATTTGAACCCATTTCTCAGCAGGACCATTCTTCATCCTGTCATGCTTTTCAGTGCACGAGAGAGGATTGTACGGTCTTTAATACTAGGATGCGTCCTCTGTTGTAGGTTACATCAAAGAAGAGAAGAATCCTGAGGCGCGCTTACGGAGGAGGCAGCCATTAAATGCTCTATTCTCACCGAAGCGAAACAAGGAGGAGAAATAAAAATGTCCATCTGTAAAAGAACTGATGTTGTGAAGAAGGTTGCCGTTGTTTCCTTTCTCCCCTTCAGTCGTTCTGACTTGTGTTTTGTTTTTTTAAATGTTTTTTTGTGCAGATAGTTTGGATGAATAAATAATTGTTTCTATGGAGTGTTGGGATTGTCACAGTTCATCTACAAATAAGTAAATAATAATATGCAGACCTTTAAATTCTGACCCAGTGCAGTGAGGACAGTTTGTACCAAACTTTTATTTGGTCAGGAGATCAGATAATAGACAAAGTTATAAAATGAATGTAGAAAAATAGAATCTGCATCCCCAGTTAATAAGGAAAGAGTCATTTGAGGTGAACTCGTCTAAAGTGCTGAAATTCGTCACACGTGAGTATCCCTCTCAGAATAGATCAGCAGAGCCTCTCCGACGTGACTGACGACCACACTGCAATCAAAAAAAGATCAGGGCTTTCATCAAAAATCCAGCGTCACGAGATTAACGTGTATTAAACTGGAAAACAAAAAGCATTAAAAGTTGGACATAAACCTGCAACTTTTTAAAACCACAACTGACAAGAATTCACGTACAAACGTTCACAAACATGTTAGAACAAATAAGACAGATGCAGAAATCTGAAGCATGGAAAATGAACATTTGTTTTTGTGCTGAAATGAGCTGGAAACAAAAGTTTGGTACCTACCACAAAAGAGACGAAGCATTAGAGTTCACAGAGAAAATAAATGGAGACAGGAGCATGGCAGTAACCTGACAGGACATAATCCAACAAGTAAATCACATCAGTTTGACTTTGACGATCAACACGTGTGTGTGTGATGAACTGTGTGTTACATGAGTTTAACATATCTGAAGTCACCTTAGATAAAAAGATCCAGACCCCAAAGTGTTCAAAGGACAGTCCGCTTTTTAATTTGACTGTAGCCAACCGCAGCAAAAAGCCCAGCAGAGCGCTGTGAAGTGAGACACACAACCAGTAAGAAGGACACAAACCTTCCTCCGTCCTATTAAACCTTTTACAGAACTGGAACAGGAGTCCTTGTACATAAACACACTAAATATGCCGTTATTTAAAACTTTCTAACAAAGATCTACTTATTTTATATCCAAGTATAATTAGAACGGACTCTGAAGGCTTCAATTTGATATGAACTCAAAGGACGACAGCTTGTTTTCACGGCTAACCAACACCGATGCAATCAATATTAGAGAAAACTGACGTTTTCACCTGGCACAGCAGCCACAGTGAAATGTGTGCGACTGCAGGGACGGGAACTCCAAGGCACCTGTGAGGTCACCTGCACAGGGACAAGAGGCATAAATTTTATACACACACACACACACACACACACACACATACATACATACATACATACATATGAAAATGAGCTGGAGACAGTGGTAGTAACAGAAAGACAGGAGGCAGAGCTGGAAGTGGAGGCTGAAGATGTTAAACTAGGACAGAGTTACAGCTCAGGTTGAGCGGTTTGGAGAGAAGAGACAGTGGACAAATTGGACAAAGGAGTTTTTAAAGTGGAGATGCCAGGCAGGAGGAAAAGAGGAAGACCTCAGAGGAGATCCACGGATGTAGTAAAAGAGGACATGCAGGGGGGTGGTGTGACAGAGGTGGAGGGTCTGCTGTGCTGGCTCCTAAAGAAGTAGAAGAGGAGCTACAAAATGAGCAATAACAGAAGTTTTTGTGAGAATATTTGTAGAATCTGTGCGAGGTCAGTCGTACCTGTCGGGTGAGCAGCAGCAGCCAGCAGCAGCACGCTGTTGTTCAAAGGGGGGAAGCTGTTATTAGGCACTGATAATATCTAAATCTGCTTAACGTGAAAGGTTAAAGTTTTGAAATGAATCCGACTGAATAACTTAGACATCACTATCCCGTATATTGACCTTTAATTTTAAGACTTATGAATGGCAGTCGAATAAGGAAACTAATAAGCTTTTTTGGATCATGTCTAACGCATCAACACTTGGGTTTATCACAATTCTTTACAAGTAGTTTAAGTAAATTAATACTCTCACGTTAGAAGACTGAAGGTTCAGCCTCAGATCAAACAATTTAGACTTGAATCTTACCTGAACAGGTAGTTAATGCACTGCTGCTCAAGATCACTGCAATCAAATCACAAAAGCAGCGTCTTCAGCCTCTGATGTGCAGCAGAGCAAGCTGAAGCTGAGAAACTGCACCACATGCTAGACTAGGAAGGCGCTCATGTGAGCCCATCAAAGGCTTTCACTCACCTCAGGTTGACGGACTTGTGGTGAACTTGAAAGACTCTATATGCACCTGCAAAGCAGTGTTGTTGTTTCAATTTCTGCTGCTGTTGCAGTCGCTTATTGCCATCAAAAGATTTAAGCCTTAGGGCAAAATCGATCAGCTCAAACACAACATCACCTCAAACACTCGGCCTTATCAAGGCTCAGACATCTTCATCATCATTCTTCTCACAGTTAAAAGTGTTTTTAAAGTCATATTACGATATTAGACTTACCAACACAGGCGAGATGGCAGACGGCCCACAGGTAACCGCTGTGGTCCACCTGCACGGCAAGGACACATGCTAACTAACTTGATCTACGGCACCGGCAATAAGCGAGCCAGGATTGTTAATTACCTGAGGGTCATAAAAGGGAAGGTTGATGGCTGAAAGCAGCATGAGGCATAGGCTGGAAGAGAAGGAGGGACGTTTAATGTGTGAAATGTGTGAATCTCTTTTTAAAAAAATAATAAAAAAACATCCATACCTGATAAATTTCAGCCACTGTGTCTTCTGCTAAAAAACAAAAAGCAGAGAGAGCACATTAGGAGCAGGAGTGTGAAGCACATGACTGAACAGATCAGTTTACAGCAGGAGGTGAGCGCACTTACCTCTCTGCGCATGACCTTGAAGATCACGTAGCTAAAGGGATGAGAGCAGTTCTGAAGAGTGAAGAAGAAGGGAATGTCCTGCGTGGAGGAGACACACTCATAACAAGATTGTCACAGTAGCAAGAAAAATCAGCACATGAATGCACTGCGATGTTATTTTAAGTGAACTGTGCACTTACTAAACGTGATAATGCCCGGGAACCAGCGTAAATGTTCCCCACAAATAGGAGGGAGCCCGGAAGCCAGGACAGAGCCGCAGATCTGTAATGCAATATTAGAGCACGTGGATCGTGTGGAAATCTCCCACGCGGCAGTATAATATCAAACCCAGCAGAATGCAGTGCGGTGACAGTACCTGGTGATGCGGTTTATTTCCACCCATCCCAGCTTTCCAGACACTAGAAGCAGGATAGCTCCAATAAATGTCTGCCATCTGGAAATGTGCAGTTTGGTTGTGTTAGTGAGAACAAACACGAGGTTATTCAGGTATCACACAACAGGGTGCATAATTAAACTAATGAATAATTCCTTTTACTTCTTTAGATTTATTGAAATGTATTCTACTCAAAGAAGAGTCACTTCACTAGATACATATTCAATATTTATTTTCAGTTACTCACCCTTGAAATAAGGTTGGATAGGTGAAGTTTAACACTGACAGGACAAACTACAAAAAAAGAGAAGACAGTGAGCTCATTTCATATGCAGGCAGTGTGGTATTAATCATTTCCCTAGAGATGCTTCATTACTCCCGCCAAAACCCATTTAAAAGTCTGCCAATTAGGTTTGTACAGCTGTCTCTATAAATCTGTACGGGATACAACACGACTCTAACTATGTGATATAATCGAGTTTTCAATTCGGCATAACTGTGAATCCTATTCACACTTGGTCTTTGTACACTTCCTGCACTTATTTCTACTCCCTGATACCAAGCGCCAATATTACACTTTACACAGCTTATGTCTGGATGGATTCACCTGGGATTACTCAAAGCATCTCCGCGGAATCTCTAAATCAGTAACCTCCTTTTCAAACTAAAATTTTTGACTCGTATCCTCGCTAGTACCTACCTTGTTCGTGAAATATGACACAACAAAAACAAGGCTAAAAGCGAGGCCGGTGACGTGTCTCCTCCACTGCATGATGGTCTGCAGACACGCTGCAGCTGGGACATGATGAGAAGTACCAACAAAAATAATAAAGCTTTTAATACAGCGGCTCGTTTTTGAAACTGAAGACCTCTCAGGATCGGAAACTTCCCTCACTGTCACCACACATGACGCGTCAAGACGCAGGCACACCGAGATCGTCTATGCGTGGGCAGATGGTTCACTGCGCTGTCTATGTGTCCCACACACAGCAAGTGTACCACCACATGTACACTGATAAGATACTATTGTTTATTTAGTCTGTCCTTTTGGATTTGGGATAAATTCTATTTTGTGTGTGTCTTACTTTGTCCTTATTTTGCAATCGGTCTGATTGCGGCAGGAAAGACGGTGCATGCTGTATGTTGATTGTTTTGGTTTGAGGGTGTGACCTGGATGATGACAGTCTCTGGTGATGTGATGTGCTCTTTTTTGGCGGTTTTGTGTAATCCACTAATTTAACTTTTAACCAATTTTCAAGTGCATTTGTTTCTTGGTTTTCTGATTCAAATAAAAAAAAAAAACCATCAAAACTCCCACTATTATAGCAGCGAAAGTTAAATTACTCTGTTTGTGGTTAAAATTACAAAATATTTGTACCGACAAAACAAACATATTCAATTTTATTTATAGGGCACTGACGCAGTGTTGGTCCTTGAACGTGCCAGCAGAGTGACGTCTCCCTCCGCTGCTCTGTGCAGACCGCTCACCGTCTGTCTTGGAGTGGGTCACGTGGTTTCCACCAAGTTTCCGTGTTTACAAAGCTCGGGCTGTTGTGGCTTGTCGGTATTGAGTTTCTGAAGAGGATGCTGTGCGGTCATGGCGTTTTTTCTGGCGCAGGAACGAACTAAAGAAAGGTTGGTGTTCTTCCACCTTCTGTTAGCGGGTGGTTATTTCCCTGCGAGGTTTTGTTGGGAGCTGAGCGCCAGCAGCGGGCTGTTTTTCCCGACTGTGGCCGCGTGTCATTGCAGCGTGAGGCAGGGCTGCTTAGCTAATGAGGCAGAGCTCCACTGTCAGCTGGGGGATGCGGTCTAATTATTGAAGTGGGCTCTGGTCTGCGGTGCAGACCGGTTACTTTTACCCAGAAGGTCCCGTGTCTAGAGGACAGTACAACAAAATGACGCTTAAGTGAGAGTGTGGAGGATATAAAAGAATTTGACAGAGCTTTAAACTAAAGCAGCTGCTTTTTCCAGCAATTCCAATTCTGAGCCTCCTAATGGAAGCGGCAGACCTTAGCACATGATCTATGCTTCAAACTGACCACCAGAGTGAGCTCTTAAAAGCTTTGAAACGATCTCCTGCGTGGTCCCGGTCTAGAGCAGGGCATTGAATTTCCACAGTGCACTTTGATACTCAGCATGCTGGGCAGGAAAAGGATGAGGTCACCTCTGAACAATACAGGATGAACAGTTTCTTCAGCGAGTGTGAAGAAGTGCTTTGTACGCACTGGTGACTCATTAGAGCCTGTCTGATACTGGAGTTTTGGACCTCAAGCTACCACAGGCCTCTGCTTCTAATGTGTTATGTTCGGTCAGGGAGATGAATACAAACAATTACATCAGTCAGAATCCAATTTCATCAAAAATAAGCTTTCTTCTAACAGTCTGGTTAACATAGAAAGCATTCTTCTGTACTTAAAAGTCAGGTAGGATGTGGCAATTTAAATCATGTTCAGTGACACTAAGGAGACCAAAGTGTGCCAAGGAAATATCCCCCTAAACCAGGGGTGTCGAACTCCAGGCCTCGAGGGCCGGTGTCCTGCAGGTTTTAAATCTCACCCTGGGTCATCACACCTGAATCAAATGATTATTTCATTACCAGTCTCTGGAGAACTTCAAGACATGTTGAGGAGGTCATTTAGCCATTTAAATCAGCTGTGTTGGTTCAAGGACACATCTAAAACCTTCAGGACACCGGCCCTCGAGGCCTGGAGTTCGACACCTGTGCCCTAAACCATTGCACCACCACCACCAGCAGCAGACTAAACTATTCATACAAGCAGACAAGTATTCATCCATGCATGGAGAGTTTGCAGCTCTTGTGTAAATTGTAGCCTCAGTTTCCTGTTCTTAGTTGACAGGAGTGGCACTCAGTGTGGTCTTCTGCTTCAAGGTGTGGCGTGCTGTGTGTTCAGAGATGCTCTTCTGCACACCTTGGTTGTAATGAGCAGTCATTTGCATTATTGTTGCCTTCACATCAACTCAGAGCAGTCTGACTATTCTCCCCTGACATCTGGCATCAACTAGGCATTATCAGCCAGACAACTGCTGCTCACTGGATAGTTTGTCGCTTTCAGACCATTATCTGCAAACCCTGCAGATGTTTCTAGATTGGGGCAGATGCCAGGAGAGTAAATGAGGTCATTTGGCACCAACAATCATGCATCACTCAAAGTTGCTCTTTTTCTCCCATTGCGATGCTCAGTTTGAACTTGAGCAGATAGTCGTGACCATGTCCTCGTCCACCAAATTGCTGAAATGGGATTTGTTAATAAGACATTTGTGTTAACGAGCAGTAAACAGGTGTACCTAACAAAGTGGCCACTGAATTTAAGCAAATCACTTCCTTTTTTAGTGACACATCCTTCTGCCTAATCTGATAACTTTTGCTTTCAACAAGCAGCAGTTCCACATAAAACCTTTCAATACCCTTTGTCGGGTTTGTTAAAGCTGCGTATGTAGAAGACTGAGCTGCACCGGACTGTTTCTAGTTCCTGTAGGTCCAATTACCAAGCTGATGTTTTTGAAATGTCTTTATTGGTTTTGTTGTGAAATATCAGTTGGAATATATATGTATATAAGCTAAAACATTGCTCTGGCATGAAGTAGCTTCTTAAATATGTCAGCAGTTAACTCCTTTCAATACTTTTAAACATGTTAATGCAAGTTGAGCAAAGGAAGTGCATGCCACGGTTTCTAAATCCACATTACTGCTCACAGTGGTTTAATGTATTGATTGTCAGTGCAGCAGTAAACAGAAATATTACACACTTAAGCTGCAACATTGCTCACAGCTGAATAATCAACTATGAGGCTCTCTCTCTTTTAGTGGTCACAATTCTAGCCTACAAAGTGACTTTATTTACATTTTCTTTGATTATTTAATGTGTGTAATCCTGACAGAACACAATCATAACATGATGCATCAGCACTGACCAGAATCTGCAGAAACTTGCTGATTCTAAGATTCTAAATGTTTAAAAAGTGCACCAAAGAAAGTTTTCAGCAGGAGGCATCATTGCCTGGAGTCACACTTATGTGTTAAAGAGCCACATTTTCCCCTTTATGTACATTAATAATGTGTTGTTTACTGTTAATTTATTAATACAGTACTTTTTTTTTTTTTAAAAATCTGGTGATTTGACCCCACCAGTCTAACCCCACCATTGCTCTGATGTTTTCTCAAGCAGCTGTTTGCTCCTTTCCAGGTTTTCCCTCTTGCTGCTGGATTTGGAGGAATATTATTTTGAACAGCACACCGCGTACCATGTGACAAGCACTTTAAAAAAGCAGAGGTAAGTTGGATAATTAAAGGCAACGCTTCATCAGCATCTAACACCTGAAATCGCTGCACCATGGAAGTACTTTATAAGCTTGAGTACAAACCGTGCCTTCACTTTCCTCTAAAATTACAAAAAGCTAAAGAAGTCTCACACTTTGAAATGCTTCTCTGTTTTTATTGGTGCTATCATGTACTCATGCTTGTTTAAAGCTTTTAGGGTTGATGGTAGTTGCTCTGCCTTCTGAGGAACAACTGTTCAAACACCATTTAGTTCTGTGATGAAGGCTTGTGTAAACCTTTTTTTTTTTTTTTTTTTGATCAAACATTGTGAACTTTTCAGTGATAATCATGTCCTGTTACCTACCTACTGAAAAAGGAGTGAACAGTAAATACACAAAACACCACCTTTGCTTTCTTTGTCTCATTTTGAAGATTTCTGTCCTTCAGGCCATTTGGACAACATTTGTGCCCTGTAGCTGTTTTCATTTGGTTTATATTTGGCAAATATGTGATCGAGCTGTGGGGCTAACGCTGGCTCTAGACTGGATGTGAGTCGAATTCTGTTGTTTAGGCTAAACGTTTATTGCCATGTGGGACGACTTTACACTGTAGCTCTGCTCTGTAACATTAGCCTTGAGACCCATCAATTCAAAGAAAAAGTAATCTGTTGTTTGAATTCATTTCCGGTTTTGTCCCCCCCCCCCTGAAACACGGCCGATTGGGGGGGGAAAAAACCTGGGAAGGAAAATTGATAGAGGTTGCTAGCCTGTAATTAGCATATTTCTCCTAACATTTCAAGATTATTATTTTTTTAGTTTTATAAATGTCTATTGACTTTTTTGTGCAAAATATTTACTCTTGTTTGTTTTGCCGGGTTTTTGTGTGTTTTGTTTGTTTGTTTTTTGGGGGGTGGGGCTAGCTATTACTTAACAAGCTAACATCAGCTTTTTTCTTTCCAGAAAAATCAGAGGTTCATTCAAGATTTGTTCCAAATCGATCATCTTTGATCCAGAGGAGCTTGCAGAACCAATTATAAAGGTTTGTTTTTATAACATTCTTTAAAAAAACAAAAATAAAACTACAACCAATAAACATTGTGGTAATGCTGCTAGCTAAATTTAAAATTGTGAATTTTAACATTAAAAAATATACATTGGTGTCACAGGCCTGTCTTATCTTTGCTGGGAGATACAGTTACCATTATGTAGGCAGGCTGGATATAATGGAGACAGCCTTGTATTGTACATTGTTTGTGTTTTTTGTGTACAAAATCTATGAATCATGGATTTTGTAGTTACGCCACCACGTCTTTAATCATAACTGCTCACTCTGCTTTCAGATTCCTCTGCGAGATTGCAAGAAGATTGAGTTTGTGGAGGAAGAGAAGAACTCTTTTAACAAGTGAGCACAGTAATATCTTTGGCGTTGCATGTGCACGTCACATGCTCATCTTTACTCAGTTTGACAAACCGGTTTGGTTACTTGGAGTGCAAATGTAGCCCAGCTGTACTTGAAAAGCAGTTTTGTAAGTAGCATCTGCAAATGATTGGGCTTCATGTGATTTTTGAAAAATAAAAACGTGTGCACTACTACTTTGGATGCGGCACATGCTAATGGTGATTATTCTGTTTTATTAATCTTAAAAGTAATTATAGTTTTGATGTCATAATTCTTATTATTTGCTATCTGATTTGTGCATGTGCTCACAGACCCGGACAATCAGCCATATCTATTCTCTGCAAGCAGGTGAGTTATGGAGTTATTACTTTTGTAAACATATTGTTCTTCAGAGAGGCACCAGCCCTCGCAGCTTTTTCTCTGTAATATATGGTATTTGATTGTTCAGGTTGATCCTCTTTACTTTCATCGTGTCTTTTTTGTCTAAGGCTACGTTCACACTGCAGGCGAAAGCGCATCAAATCCGTTTTTGTTTGACCCTATGCGACCCATATCCGATCATGGTATGCCAGTGTGAACGGCACAAATCCGATCTGGTTCACTTTCCTATGTGGTTCTGAATCCGATATATATCCGATGTTTTAGAAGCGACTGCTGTTTGAATGGTCATGTCGCATTAAATCAGTCTTTTACGTCACTGACACAAGACAGACGCCAATTATCAGTGCCGGAGAAGACATCGCGAACACTTCCTGGCCATCCAGTGTAGATGTTAGTCAAACTGTTGGGAAGACAGCGTGAACATTTTATTTGTACTGTATAATCTGCAGATTCTGACAGAAATCTGCAACTATCCTTTGAAGCACCGCTCCTCTAAAACAGCAATAAGGATAATTATTAGGTTATCTACATTATTATGTAAATAACAAAATAACTTCAAGCAAAAATTGGGAAACATAAGGTCTGAAGTCTTTATATTAAGGGCCGTCATTCAAACAATATTGTTTGCTCTGGGTCTAAACAGAGCGCGTTGTGTGTGACGTCTTCTTTTGCGCATGCGGGCCGCTTTGAGCGTTCACACTAGAGCGAGTTTGCTGTCACATTTTATTTGTAGTGTGAACAAGCAGACGACAAAATCGGATTTGATCAAAAAATCGGAATTGAGCATTAAGACCTGCAGTGTGAACAAAGCCTAAGTAAATCCACTCTTTCGTTTTCAGGTGATATACATCAAAGAAAGCAACGTTATTGCGCCTTACAGAAATGAAAGGGTGGGTGAGTCAGCTCAGCATGAGTGTCTTCTGTTGCGTATTCACAGAGACTTGTTTGTGCTTAAAATCTGGAATGTCACTGTCTCACAATAACTGCTGCTGGCTTTTCCTTTTATTATGAAAGGGTGAAAACGGAAGGTAAAACTTTCTTACAATGAGTCAGAGCCCAAAGATCACAGCCTCTGGACACATGTGCATTTGTTGGATCCATTTGAACACTATGCTATATAATGACCAGTGTAAAGTTCTGGAATGATTGTCTAAAAACACTGAAGTACATTTTTAGGACAAGGTTATAAAACCAGTGTGTCATTTTATTCACAAGAAACTTTCTTTTGTTTTTGAATAAACTTGTCTGATCACAGGAAGAAAAGACGCTGACCTTTCAGTTAGAATTCTGCAGTAAAACAGAGGATGTTGTCCAGACGTTACTTCAGGTATGTCGCTGGTACAAAACAAAATACTGTGGGGGGAGTTTTGTGTCACGTGCGCGGTGTGAGCTGCTTTCCTTCCCTTTAAAATCTGTTAAATTTTGCAGCTCCACAGGGCCTCCTGTCTGGAAAAACTTGGAGACCAGACTGCAATGGTAAGTCGATCATTACTCTCAGTCCACAGTAAGCCTCGAAAGCAATGCCCCACTTCACACACTGACAAAAATCCACATCATAAAATCTAAATAAAGGTCCAATTTGTAGTGGCTTCATGCCACAACAGTGTGGTCCATCTCACATTTGTAGACCATTCCTCAAAACCATGAAGATGAGGAAACGATGAAAAACAAATGCAATGAAACAGTGAAAGTCTGTTGCACTTCCTGTATTTGTCCCCTCTTACTCCTTCCTCTTTATGACCTTTAATTAGTTTAAAATAGTAAGTAACCATTGCGTAACCAAAGACCAAACCCACATTTCCTTTATTTCTAGATTGCTGCCAATCTACAATCCCGAATGGCGAGGTCATCGTTTGACAAAAACTGGTATGTAGATGTCAATCAGATGAGTATTTATATGCTTTTTCCTAACTTTATTTTTAAGCCTCATTGGGTTTGTGTTATGCGTGACTTAAACTTAATATAGTGATTATTATATAAGGTTTAGATGTACTAGAGCGTGCAGCCAGACAGGACTGTGGTGTTAATGTGCTGTGAAGCTTTCAGAGTGTTGCTGAAAACCCTCACATGGAGTGTGCAGTGGAGATGGTCATGCCTCTGGTGTGCAATCCAGGCCATGTCTGCGTAACAGATAAAAACCTCTACTTCCAGCCTCTCAATGGATATCCGGTGAGATGACAAAGCAGGCAGTGGGAATGGTGTTGGTGTGGCTGTTTGTTCAGATGCTGAACACCAGTAATGTTTCCCAAACAAATGAATTGTAATTGGTGTGCACGTCCTCTCCCTTCAGGAAAATGTGATTCAGATAAAGCTGCACAACGTCAGGAGAATCTACAAAAGACGGCTTGGTCTTAGACCCCTGGTGAGTCGCAAGTGCCACTAAAGGTAGCTTGAGTATCTTTCTTTACTGCAGTTTATTTGGATGATCTCATGGGTTCATGTGTTCGGTCTCCCTGCTCAGGGTCTGGAGGTATTCTGTTCTGAGAATGACTTCTGTTCAGACATATACCTGAAGTTTTACAGCACGACCGACAGAGATGAAGTCTACTACTACATCGCAACTTTCCTGGGTGAGACGATACAAGCCTATTAATAAATGTCTGATTTATTTGATCACTTCTTTAAAATAGATTTTGCTCTAAAAGCCTGAATTTGTGGCCTCTGGGTGCTGTTTTCACACAGGTGCTGTACTCCTGAGCTGTTTCTGTCAAGAATACACAACAAATTGCTTTAAAATCTCTTTAGGATCTTTTTCTTCTTTTGTTTTGTGTTCATACCTAAATCCTAAGAAAGATCGAATGTGTACCCATTAGGATACGGATTTGTTGGTGTGCGGGACTCATACATGCACAAAAATTGACCACACAACATGCAATTAATTTGCACAAATGTCTTTGATACGCTGCACTGAGATGGGGGTGACTCTCAAAGCAGAGCCAATGAGAATGGATGAGGAATCAGAATTTTTAAACTCGTATTAATTCTCGTTCGTATTGTGAATCGAATAAATCTAAACCAAGTGGAGTTTTTCAGAAGTAACAACGTGTCTGTCTTGGACAATCTTCAATACAACAGTGTACCATGCTTCTTCCATTTGTGATACTTTGTTGATCATGCAGCAGTTCTGTCAGTAAATTATCAGAATCACGACTCGCTTGTTTTGTTGAGATTTATTGAACAAATTGAATGAAAGTTAACGGACCAGCAGTAAAGATGCAGACCCGTACAGATAGCTCCAGTCTGTGCTGCGTGTTGAGAAGAGCATCTGCAGAAAATGTTTTCCTCAACATTGTGTGAAAATGATTAACAAGTGAATCCCTGTTTGCGTTTCACTGATCAATGATTACACGTGAAGGTGTGCAGCAGTGCACTCGCAGACATGGCTTTAAACAATACTGGATATAAGTGAGATCTAAATGTTCAAGGATTTAGGAGCAAACAGTGTGCCACTGGTAACCCTCAGCTACAGCCATCAAGTGATCACTAAATAGTCCAAAGCTGCAAGTAAACCTGGTTTCTGTGTGACGCAGAAGCAACATATGTAAAACTGCTGTTGTCTTTATAAAGCAGTGCAGCTGATGCTTCATTCTCGATGATTAACTGAACCACGTACCTGTGCTGTTTTCGCCTTTCTCGCTCAGAAAACCACGCGATAGAGCACACAGCAGAGAGCTACATGTTGCAGTGGCAGCGTGGTCATCTCAGCAACTACCAGTATCTCCTCCACCTCAACAACCTGGCTGACCGCAGCTGCAACGACCTCTCGCAGTACCCAGTCTTCCCCTGGGTCATCGCTGACTACACCAGCCCGCGGTTAGGTGGGTCCGCAGACCTTTGCCACTTTCTCCTGTCAGAGTGATGGTGGCTGAGATTTTGGGTCTTGCATCTTTGTAAAGATGCTGTAGTTTCTCACTGTCGGTACTACGCTTTGTTTCTCAGACATGACAAATGCTGCCACATTCAGAGACTTGAGCAAACCTGTGGGAGCCCTGAACAAAGAGCGACTGGACAGGCTCCTGGTGAGACGACTGCCTGATTGTACTGTTTGTTTTTGCTGACAAGTTCCTTATTAACCACAGAGCTCCCCTCTTCTCCACAGGCTCGATACAGAGGCATGCCCGAACCTAGCTTCATGTACGGCAGCCATTACTCATCTCCAGGCTACGTCCTTTTTTACCTGGTCAGAGTTGGTATGTCACACAGTTAACATTACTTATCATCTACAGGACGTGTGGAACCAACAGATGTTATTTTTGTAGGTTTTATAACTCTGAGGTTTAGCCTGCTGGTCACCTAGGTGACACAACAGTCAAATATAACACTACAGTTAAAAGCACAGCACAACATTTTCAGTCTTCATCTTGATGATGCTTGTGCGAGTCAAGCAGAAGTTTAAAGATCAGTCAAATGCAAAATTGTCACAGTAACTGTGACTCACATTGTGACTCACGGCCTTCAGAAACTGCACACTGACATTTTGGCGACACATAATTCTGTTCACAGTAATGATATAATGATTTCTGATCTCTTAAATTCATCTGCTGTCCTCTAACTGCAGCTCCAGAGCACATGCTGTGTCTCCAGAATGGCCGCTATGACCACGCTGACCGAATGTTCAATAGGTAAATTATTTCCCCCGTTGTTTTACACATTATAATGGTAAAGTACAGAAATTTGCCCACTGGCTGATTTCTTTGTCATACTTGCATGTTTTAGATCAGGGTGTCAAACTCCAGGCCTCGAGGGCCGGTGTCCTGCAGGTTTTAGATCTCACCCTGGGTCAACACACCTGAATCAAATGATTAGTTCATTACCAGGCCTTCTGGAGAACACGTTGAGGAGGTCGTTTAGCCATTTAAATCAGCTGTGTTGGATCAAGGACACGGGTTTAGAGGGGTTTATCTCCAAGACAAAAGCTTAACTTTTTGTGAAAGGTTTGAGTCGCATTACATCTGATCTAAAACTAACACAGCATTTCATAAAGACAACACCGTGGCAACAGTCAGTGGTACAGTGATTTGCTGTAACCATGACTTCAGCTCTCTACCAGAAACTGAAGGAGAATGTCCAGTCATCAGTTTGTGCTCCGAAGCTCAAGAGCACTTGGGTTATGATCTGAAACACACCAACAAGTCCCCCTCTGAATGGCTCACATTGATCGAGATGCTCAGCGTGACCTTCATGCTCAAAAACCCTCAAATGTGGCTGAATTAAAACAATTCTGCAAAGAAGAGCAAACCGAAGTTCCTCCACAGTGAAAGACTCGTTGCCAGTTGTCACAAAAGCTTGATTGCTGTTCTTGTTGCCAAACGTGGTAACCAGTTATTAGATTTATGGGGCTATTACTTTTTCCTCATTAATAATTATTTATGCATTTCTAAGGGACGATGTACAAAACATTTATTTCATGTGAGAACAACACTGAGAATTACCAGCTGACATTGGTGCAGGTTTACCTACAAGCTACTTTATACTAGCAGGTAAATGTAAACAGAGCTGAGAAGTTAAGCTCATCCTAACTCTAACTAAAATAGTGCTAATCAAAGAAGTTTGACACATAGATGTACATTTATCTGTGCACACTGATCCAGTTTAATCTTGTGGGAGGAATGGATCCTGGATAGGTGTCCAGCCTATCACAGGGCAAACAGAGAGAAACAGTCATTCATGCTCACATTTACATGCACTGTTGTACAGGAACAGCATGCAAGCAGAGTTTGCAGTTTGTGACTACTGTGGAAACAAGTTTGAACACGTACACAGTGTTTTCTGGTGAAGATGTGAATGTTGTATTTCACACTTTGAAGACGTGTTTGGTGACGTGTTGTGGTTTCTTACAGCATAGGTGAGACGTGGAAAAACTGCTTGGAGGGAGCTACTGACTTCAAGGAGGTAAAGCTATCCGTCTATTATCTGGTGTTGATGCTGTTTCTGTCGAGGAATGTCTTTCTTGACATGTTGCTTTTCCTCGTATGCTTGCAGTTGATCCCAGAGTTTTATGGGACAGACCCCAGCTTCCTGGAAAACAGACTGAGTCTGGATTTGGGCAGACGGCAGAACGGAAGTTTAGTTGGTGATGTCGTTCTTCCGCCGTGGGCCACAGGTGAACTTCCTGTCGACCGGCTGTCTGTGTGTCTCTGTAATATTAGGAGTCACGTGAGGAAGTAAGGTTTGCTGTTTCTTCCTCCAGATTCCAGTGATTTTCTTCAAAAGCACAAAGCCGCCCTGGAGAGTCAGTATGTGTCAGAACACCTTCATGAGTGGATTGACTTGGTGTTTGGCTTCAAGCAGAGGGGCAGTGAAGCTGTGGCGGCTCACAACGGTAACATAACCAACAGCTACTCTCAGTACAAGAGGCACGAAAACATGCCAACGATTAATATTCATCTCATCGTTTTCCTTTCTAAGTGTTTCACCCACTGACCTATGAGGGCGGGATCGACTGTGACAGGTACAGAAAAGAAAATCCAACGAGAATATTTCCAAATGCTCATCCCGCCTCGTTGGCCTAACGTTTCCCCTCTGTCTGTTTGACAAGCATTGAGGACACCGATCAGAGAATCGCCATGCTGACACAGATCCTGGAGTTTGGCCAGACGCCCAAACAGCTGTTCACCAGCCCTCACCCTCAGAGGATCACCCCGAGGTTTCAGAACATTACGCGAAGCTCGAGCATCAACTCACCCGACGCTGAGCTATCTCCAGGTAACACCGCACAGCACGGGAAGTGTGTGAGAGCCCTGCAGCTGCAGAGCTTTCTCTCTCATTGTTCAGGCTTAAGTAGCTAATAACACGATGCAACGGCAGCTGTGAGAGCTGAGCAGTGTTTCTAAAGCCCACACAGTTATGTGCTTCACTACTCCTCTCTGGGAGGATGGTACATGTCTCAGTGAGTGAAGCCAATCAACACAAACACAAGATTAAAAAGAGTCACAAAACGATGAATTATTAATTTACTCTCCTGTTTTTTTGTTCTGGTTTTACTGAAGAAAATAAGAGTTTCATTTATGCACTTTCGGCTATATTAACTGCATTTTAATGTGTTTTAATATATAAAATGTTTTTCATAACCATAATAAGTTAACATGTAGGCCGGATCCCTGTGTTGTTTTGCAGCCTCTCAGGGCGAGGACTCGTCTTTCGAAGATCTCACCGAGGAGAGCAGGAGGTTGGCCTGGGCAAACATGGAAAGTCTGAAGCCCGTTTCCAGCCACAAGATCCATAAAGAGTGAGTCAGGAGCTGCTCGGTGGGCTGCAGTTACAGCAGAGTACAAATGTAACCACATACAGCAAAAGTGAAAGCCCTGCCTCAAAAATGAGGAAGTGAATTCAAAGAAAGCAGGTAGCAGGCAGCTGCAGGAGCTCCACACCCCTTCAGAAACTTAATACTAGTTTCAGGACTACTTCCTTCAATAACAGACTGCTGTGTTATTCTAAACAAATTCTTCATTTCATGTGTTTTTTTTTTTTATATACGTGTATATTTATGTTTTTTAAGTAACTTTGTTTCTGCTGTATGTGCAGAGCTGTGACAGGCATTGCTGTGTCTCGAGGTGGATCGGCTGTTTTCTCCACATCTAAAGGTTTGGAAAATGTCTAGACTGAGAAGAAATGTAGACGACTCAGATCTACTTGGAAACTCATTTTGTTTTCTCTTTAATTAAAAAGCCGTTGAGCTAAAAGGATTAAGAGAAGGATGCATTACGGTTTGCTCCGTTCTGTCAGTGGAGACGTGTTTCACGCTGACCCCTCTCGCTCTTTATTACAGACTCGACACTTAAAATGTTTTCCAAAGAGCTGAAGGAGTTCCAGAGAAGCATGTCGTTCTCTAACATGGTACGCTCGCCCGTTCAGCATCTCCTTCCTCGGATCTCTTCTCCGAATCTGTTCCATTTCTCTGTAAACAGTAAACCGCTCGACTGTTTTTCAGGCCTTGTCATCGTGTTTGATACTGGCGGACAGTAAAACGGTGGTGTGCTCTTCGTGGGACAACAATGTGTACGGACTGTTTATTCATTATATTTAACGTGGTTTTCAGAGAGTTTTGACGGCTTCTCGCTGACCTGCACGCTCCTCTCTCTCAGGTATTTCTACTCCGTCCCGTATGGCAGGCGGCAGGATACGCTGATGGGTCACGATGACGCTGTCAGTAAAATGTGCTGGTTTGAGGACAAACTCTACACAGCATCCTGGGATTCCACTGTTAAGGTAAAGTATTGTCTCTATAACCCTTTTCAGACATGGGACATGTTACAGTGCTGGACTAATGAATTTACTATTTAAGGGAGAGAGCTATGCAGTATTTGTCATATGGACCAGATTGACAGTACATCACATGATGTATAACACACGAGGCCCCTTTACTAATAAATAAGGAGGCAACATCGTAGACACATCAGACTCACACAAACGGTAAAATGATATCCTGAAAGCTTTCCCTGGACAGGAATGAGAATACTGTTATTGCATCGTAGCTCGCACTCGTGCTGTGATGACAGCTGAGAGTCCGGCCTGGTCAGGCTGCATGAAGCTAAACCTGGGTGCTCGTTCTGAAAAGAAGCCGGCTTGTTTCAGTGCCAGCAGATGAACGCAGACTGAGGAAGACTAAGGACTCCATGTCAGAGAGAGGATGAACCTTTAGCGTTGTTTTCTGTGTGACCTTCACAGGTGTGGGAATGCAACTCTGACAGCTTTTCCACTCACAAGAGATCCCAGTTTAATTTGCTGGGTGAGTTGGAACATGATGCTGGGGTGAGTGACAAAACCGCAGCCACAGGTTTCATCAAGATCTTACAAAGTTCATGTGGATTTAAATGCATCATAGTAACGCTGTGTGCATGTGTTATTGTTGGAAAGACTCTGACAAATAAAATGTTCATATTTGTCAAACACTGAGGCATTTTAGCAGTGTTAAAAACATATTTAATAAAAACATGTTTGCTCTCTAACATTCAACTTCAGGTGAACACGGTCAGTCTGAACCCAGCTGGGACTTTGCTGGTGTCTGGATGTAAAGATGGGGCTGTCACCATCTGGGACACCAGCAGCCAAAGGACTCTGCAGCAGATCCACTGCCACAGTGGGACCATCCACCAGACGGACTTCAGTCCTGGTTTGTGTGAACGTGGAACTTTGAATTTTAAGTTTAACATTTTAGGTGATCAGATCTGCTCGTGGAAGCTTTGAGTAAATAATTCCCTTAAGCTTAATGTTTGGCTCAGTACAGTTAAAGTGCATGTGGAGAGCACTTCTTCAGCTTTCTTTGAAGCGGCTGTTGGCTGCTTGATTCTTCTGTGTGAATCAAACAACCCTTTACTGCTGAGCAGGAAGAATTTCTGTTGAGAAATTACAACTCCCAGACTCATATGTATTATCCAAAGACATGTAACTGTATATGTGTGTGATTATCCCGATTTTGCATTCTCAGATAGCCGACACGTTCTCAGCGTTGGAGCCGACTCCTGCATGAAGGTTATCGACGTCCAGACGGGAATGGTGATCTCCTCTGTGAAAGCTGAAGAGGAGCAGAGGTTTTCCTAGCAATCCAGAACTTTGTATTTCACTTGTTTCTTTGTGCTATGTTCAAAGCATTTAGCAGCATGTTTGTGTGTGCAGGTGTTTCTGCTGGGATGGAAACTGGGTGCTGTGTGGGGGCCAGTCTGGTGACCTCCTCCTGTGGGACCTTCTTACCAACACAGTTACCAAGAGGATCCCTGCACACTCAGGTAGAGCTCATCTTCAGTAATCATTGGGTGGAGTTTTTACCCCCGTTTTCAAACTTCTGCTGCTGCTTTGTTTATTGGCTGTAAAACCAGCAACAAGAAGGAAAGAAAATCTGCTGCATTTCTGATTTTATTTACTGCCAGTTGAACGAATTGGCAGGAATGAATAGACAAATTTACCAGGAACTTCTGCTAATTCATTGTCCTGAATGACCTTGAATCATAACATAAAGTTGTTAGTAAATAACAGAAAATGGTGGGCCGGATTGGAGCCTTTGCTGGTCGATTCTGGCCCCCGGGCCTTATGGTTGACACCCCTGTCTCTAAAGTATTGGTCAGATTTCTGTGAAACTTGCACAGAATAAAAAACACACAGTTCACTAATTTCCGCTAAATCTGTAATATTTGATTCAGAAGATGTCACTGGATGCTAATTTGGCTAATGTTTGTGCCACTAATGTAGTAAAACCTTAAAATGTACATGCGTTATAATAAATGTATCAATTAATAACAATATAGGCTAAAGAATATTATACATAAATCCATGTACACACAGGTGCTGTCACAGCCATGTGGATGAGTGAGCTGTGCACCACAGTGATCACAGGTGGGGAGGACCGACAGATGATCTTCTGGAAGCTCCAGAGTTAAAGTTCCGTCTCTGTTGGGGAGATAAAGTCTCCCAGTGCAATATCCTGGACAACACAGGCCAAGTATCCTGCTGACTGCCTTTGAAAGAGACTCACAAAGGACTTGAGACATGCTGAAAACATACTCTAAATGTGCAGCATCTCAGAGGAGTTGGCTCTGAACTGTTTTTAATCCAAAACCAAGCAACAGGCCACACGCGGTCGTCTTAGTTTTCATTGATGTCTGCATCTTGGGAGAAAATGTCTACTTACAGTTTCGTGCATGAGAGACGGAAGCAGAAGTGTACGTGCCTGATTTTTCACTTCAGTTTTTAGCCTGTTATGCATACATACATGTGGACTTTGCCTAAATTTATTAACTGTTAAACATCACGTAGCTAATCTCTTCCTAACCTCCCTCCACAGCTCCGTAAAGGATAAAGCAGGTGTAGTTGGTGGATGGATTGTACCTTGTTTTTAAATACGCAATCATGTTTCAGTAGCTTTATGTGAATTTTAATTTTGCAGTGGATTTACAGTGTCTGTCAGCTTTATGGTGCTCAGGTTTTATTAATAAATCATGGTTGCCTCTAAAACGTCTCCTACGGATCATCCTGTATTTTGCAATATTTCCACAACAAAAAAGAGTAAAAGTTTAGTAAATGCTCATGCTTTTGGATTTCATGTCAAGAGGAAAGACAACTTTATTCAATATATCAGAGGTATTTTGGTTATTTACAGTGTCAGTGATGTTTGGACATCCAACAAACACTGGGGCTAAACCCAGACTACCCAGTAACAAACAGAACCATTTCTATATTGATATTTGATACTCTTGGTTACACCTCTTGGTCAAAATTCAAATAGACTACAAGTCCAGCAGCTCAGTTAACAGTTTAAAGGTCACTCAGCCAGTAGGTGGTGCTCTTTGCACAGAGAGAATTCCAGTCAGGGATGGAAGAGCTTCGCATCACCCTGAACACCTAATAATGAAACTGAGGATAATTTTTGCCTTTTTCTTTTTTTAATATATAAAGTTGATCATTTGCATGACACAAATTTCAAACAGTTGTCCTCTCCTGTTACAGACGGTTCTGTGTATATTGATGAATCTGCAAAGAGTGTGGGGGGAGATTATTAGTGCTTTCCGATCATAGCACTTTGCTGCTTCCAGCAGACGTTTGAACTGAAGAGTATCAGGTCACATAAAAATCTGAATCACAACAGCTCTTCTGGTCGCTGTAGACCGGTTCCATTATGGGTCTTTTGGTAGCAATGGAAAAGTAGAAGACACTCTCAATAACACTCCACATCCACTCCCTATTTCGTCTCTTCCATTTTCTGTGGACAACAAGACAAAGTGATGACAGGACTCAACATCACAAATACTTTAGCCATCAGTGCTTTTAAACAGCCTACAGCAGAACACACTTCCCCACATCACGTTTACCTTGAGTTTTTTCATATTTGCAAAGGCTCTGAGTAGCTTGGGCGTTGGTGGCTTTGGTCCAAACAGAGCCAGTCCTTTCTGCTTCTCCTCATTACCTTTAGCAGGTACAGCTCCTTTGGCTTTGACTAGTTTCCTTCACAGTGACAAAAAAAACCCCACCACACATTTTTAAAAGGATGCATATTTAAATTTCATTTAACGTAATGATTTGGATGGAGGTTTGGAGGGTATATGATACTTTTAAATTTGAATGAAAATACAGTTCCTGAAGCACTAATAAGCGGCTCACCTGCCCTTCCTGGCCAGCACCTTCTCAGACTCCGGGTAGTGGACGAGGATATCAAACAGGTCTTTCTTCTCCAGCACAAAAAGGTTAGCGAAGCCATGAGCTTTTACATTGGCTGTGCGCCTGTTTCCTCCATCTTTAGCAGACTGAAGTAAACTGTGGTTGGATAAGCAGACAAAAAACAATATGGCCTACTACTATGGCCAAAATAAAGCAACACAACCACTGCGCAATGTACACAACTTCACAAAAGCAGCATTAAAGACGTGATAAAAACTGCTAGATTTTTTTTTTTCCTTCTTAGATTATCTCCACCCAAAGTTAACGTGACATCATCGTAACAAAGGTTTCACAGCATCAGCTGTCCTTCCTGATGCTGCAGACTTGCCTGATTTCCCCAAACACGGAGCCGGCCTTCAGCGTCACAAACACAATGCTGTTGTCGGGTCCTCCCACCACCTGCACCGCTCCACTTTTGATGATGTACATCTCTTTACCGATGTCACCCTGCAGAGGACAGATCAGCGCAGTGACACTCAGCTCAGGTCACCTTGTTGCTTCATGATGATCAGCACAGTTCAGAAGTATGTTGCTTGCTACTTTGTAGCCGTGTCGTTACCTACAGACATGTATACACATATGTATGCACCAACCTTCTTCACAACAAAGTCTCCGGGTAGATAAATGATTGACTTGAGCCTCAGTAACATGTCCACTAACATCTGCTGGTCACAGCCCTGAAGGACAGAGTGTAGTGAGTACTGACTTTCACTGAATCACAGAAGCTCTGCTTTGCTTTACTCATCTCTGAAAGCAGCCAGCATAACTTCATTACACTTCACTACAGTTCATTATCCGTCCACTCACACGCCCTTTCTCTAATACACTTTCTATGGTACTAGAGCGCTGAAGCTTAAGCAGCCTCACCTGGAACAATGCAATCTTCTGGAATGTGGCAAGGTTGATGTCCACAGCAATGGCAATTCTCATCACCAGAGGCATCTTGTCCAGGAGCTCGGACTCATCTGAGAAGGACAGACAGTGTGATTCCATGTGAGCACATTCCAGATTTTTAGTCTGTGCATTTTTGCGGCTCATTATTAGTCATGCTTGAATCCTTAAGGAATGGCTGAGTCTTTTTCATTACCTCAGCTGTAACGTCAATTCATTTCAGCTGCATTTTGTTATATAGCACCAAATCACAACAGCTGTTGTCTCAAGATGCTTTATATTGTAAGGTAAAAACCTCACAATAATACAGAGAAAATTCTTAACAATCAAACGCCCCATGAGCAAGCCCTTGGTGACAGTGGGAAGTAAAAGCTTCCTTTTACCAGGAAGAAATCTCCAGCAGAACCAGGATCAGTGGCCACGACTCGTTTTCTTTTGTTTGTTTGTTTTTATATAGAAATGTATTTGTGTGGATGAATATTCCCTGTTCCCCATTTAAACTCGTCAGCTTCTTCCGGTGAGGACACAACTGAGAGGTATACATTTCTCACCCAGCATTCCCTGAGCTGCCCAGGTGTAGTTGTACCAGGTGCGGACTCTGTTCTGGACTAGCTTGGGGATCGTATAGGTGTTCATGTAGGAAACACATCCGTCCATTGACGCCCGGAAATATGTCTGAGCTGCTGTAGCTGCTCCTATGACATCTCTCATCTGAAAGAAAGGCAGAAATGTAAAGTGTCACAGAGAAGTCATAGACATTAACAGGTGGAATATTAACATTGAAGAATATCCTCCTACCTGTCCGATCAAACTCGAGAACACAAAGACACCAATAAAGAAGTTAGCCATCTGAAAGGAAATCTCAAAGGTGGTTACAGGTTCCGGTAAACCCCCGATGTTGATCAGACTGCGAACTGCAAAGTAGTAGCAACGCAGGTACCTGCGCAGGGACAGGTAGTGAGAAGACAGGAGTTATCCACAGCTACAGACGGCATGTCGTAAATCTTTTAGTTTACTGGGATCAACAGGAGCATGGTACGCCTTTATGCTGTGTAAAGCTCTAACATGGTCCTAAAAGACAGGCCAAGAACTTTAACCCTTTCATGCATGAATTATAACAACTTCAATCAGGATTTTTTTCACAAGTATTTTTATTCATCTTTAGGTATGAAAAAAATATTTTTGAACTTCATTTTTTTAAACATGTAGTTTTTTACATACTTACTTACTGGCTGACCAGTGGGTGGCAGAGTATGTAGTGACACATCAGTGTCCAATGTTTATGTGCAAGTATACCATCAACACTGACACCAATACAAGAAAACAGCCTTTGAATAGCTGTGTCCACTGTAGTGACCACTATGCATGAAAGGGTTAAAGAACGGCGTTACCACAGATGAACATAAAATATAAACATTTTTAAATACAGGAGTATTAAAACAGAACAATACGAGTTCTTTAAACTGAATTCAAAAGTGAGCAATGTCAGTCAGGACTCTGTGTAAGTCAGCCGACGTCACTCAGTGAACAAAAAGTCAAGAGCAAGTCACTCTGTCAGCATCAGTATGGTTAAACTTCCTCAGGAGCGCCACATTTGATTTGCATAATGCTGAAAATAATTATTAATATCAGAGAGTTTAATCAATCTGCAGTTAATTAATGGATTCGATTTGTAGCTCCCAGCTAAGATGAATGCCAAAACACAATTCTTAATTAATATTTAAAAAAAGGATAAAGCAGAGCTGGTCTTTGTTCAGGAGGTACTCTTACAAAAATCACGGAGCATGCTGTGCATGTTAGGATACAACAGAGGGCGCTGCTGATCTCCCCAAGCACACGCAGCACGGTAAATAATCATCTTCATCTGCATACTGCATACCAGCAAGCAAAAAACATGTGCATATGTGTCATTAAATAATGAAATAGATTTGGTTTTGGAAACACCAAGTTATAATATTCTTGGTAATGATGAAACTTTTGTTTCACCGTGTCACAACATCGCTACATAGACACAGCTTGACTTGGCCTTGTTAAGCTTGCCTTTAAATAGAGAACCCCTGCTTTCTGCTTTTTGTTGTTTGAGATTATTTATACACATCTCTCTCTGAGTTTTAAATTGTTTCATTAAAAGGAAAAATGAAATATTTTCTTATGAAATGACATGTTTCAGTTCCATGGTGAACTCCAGAGTACAGTGTAGAACTTTAGGTCCCAAACTGGTGTACATACGCTGTGCCATTCCCGTCATACACCCATGTAGTTGTGGCAAGACCCTGGTGCACTGAGGCGACGTAGTAAGCACAGGCGTTGAGGTGAAGCATGAAGAGCAGGTAGCCTGTGGTGCGGGCAACTCTGTGTCAGAAAGACAGAAATGGTGACGCTAAAGCTACAAAACAGTGACACCATGCGATTCACGAGCAGTCACCTCCAGATGTAAGCTTTGGCCATGACACTCTCAAGTCGATCACTGAACTCAAAGAAGGAACCAATCTAAAACACACAGGGGAAAAAGTAAGGGAACTTATCAGAAAATGTAATGGAAAAAAAGTACAATAAAAAGAAGTTAGCATCCTCCTGCCTACCCTGATGAAGCGGTTCAGTCGGTAAAACGAGGAGAATTCAAAGTACAGGCAGAGCAGGTCGAAGGGGAGGATGCTGATTATATCAGTCTACACGGAACAGAATACAAACATTTGTTAAACTTTGGATTTTGCTGCAAAGCTCACAGATATGAAAGAAGAATAAAAACTGGTTCAGTAAAAATATAAATATAACAATGCAAACTTCTAACTGCAAAAATGTGGATAAAAAACAAATGCAGTGTCACCATCTATCCATCTATCCAAATCTATATATTTAATGTTGTACCACTTTATAATACGGTCTGCAAAAAAGAGAGAGTAGAGAAA